GTGTAACATTTGGGAGGATCTACTGGCAGAAATGGAATATAACACAAAAAATAAAATTAATATTTGTTTTAATTAGTGTATAATCACCTGAAAATAAGAATTATGTTTTTGTTATCTTAGAATGAGCCCAGAATGGACAAACCAAAGACTGGCTCTTGATAAGGCCTTTCGCAGGTTTTGTGTCCACCATAGTTTCTCCTACCAGTTAGTTGAGGCGAGCAGTTTCAGTTGGTTGTAGTCTGCAACGTCACCACTAGATGCCACTAAATCCTACACACTGGTCCTGTGTGGAAAATCCATTTATTGTTTTTTTACTTTGATTTAACATATCAAGTAAAATTCAGTTTTAAGTTTTTTTTTTTCAGTGTTTTTATTCCAGTTTGTCATTAACTGAGTTCTTGTTTGGATGTGTCCACCGTGCAGGAACCAGTGAAGTCGAGGGCACCACAGTTGCATTTAGAGTACCGGTTCTACAAAACACTGGGAACTACAGGTAAGGTCACATATTTGTTTGTCACTCCTTGTGGTGTTTTTTTGTGTGGCTGCATGACCATGATTTGACTGTTTTGGAAGATCAGCCCAAAAGATTGCATCATTTCCACAACAAGTGATTACTCCACTCAGGTTACGTATTGATATTAAGCTGGGTCAGCAACTTATTTTAATCTCCAGGACTTTGTGTACACGAGTGCGTGAATGGCTACGTGCATAGCAGGCGTGTTGAACAGTGACCTTGCTTGACGATACTTTGACCAGCGGTGCAATTCAATATGAAAGGTGTTGACATAAAGCTTCTTATACGCTTACAAAACCGATGTAGCAGCGGATCTTTTTTTCCTATTCACTGAAAAGACTTCCTTGTTGTTTTCTAGGCAGAATAAGCAGGAGGTGTTGCAGACTATATTTGAGGTCGTAACTTATTTTCAGTGCTCTGTCTCTACCGTCATTGGTGTCTTGTCTGCAGTAGCCTTAACTCACATCTCCAGTTGTGACTGAGCCAATAATAACTTAAACATTATGTGTCAGTGTGTCACCCTGGCTTAGTGTGGGTCTCCATAGGCTAAATCTGAATGTGTTAAAACATGTTTCTATGTACTGACTTAGTGACTTAGTATTAAATAGTGTGAATAATTGTCATTTCTTTTTTAAACCTGCAATAATTTGTTATTTGGTGGCTGTGGAAAGAAGCTGTGAACACAACACTGACATATTATCACCATGTTGAAGATGGCATAGTGCATACAGACTTCCACACATCCAGCAGACGCCGAGCAACCTTATTGTTCATTTGGAGTCAAGTTTCTAGAAACCTGGTGAATATGCATCCAGTAATCACTCACCTTTCAACTCTGTTCTATTTTTTGGTCTCCTGAATCCTGAGAGATTTACACTAAACGCTCCACAGTTTTCATCAGCTAGTCGTTAACTTTATTCTTTTATTTAACCAAAAAGTTGTAGGCTGGAAAACCAAAATAATGAGTTGAAATAGAGCTTAGTGGAACTGCAGAGTTAGTTAATGATTATCTGTGGGCTCATCACTACAAGTTCCTCTTTTCACATTACATTTAGTCAATCAACGCATCTTAGGATAAAAATATTGGCATTAAGGAAATGTAGCATGAGCTTTGATCTTAGTGTGCAGATTTATCTGACAAAAAATACATATATCCAGTATAAAGCAGACTTACACATTGTTGTGGTGCTGCAGGTAGCTAAGAAATGTATTTATTTCTGTTGTCTTATTAAAACACCTGGGAACTGGGTTACTTTCACTGCATGAGGTTAGATCATGTGGTCAAGATTAGTGATAATCCATGTCATCAGATGGTCTTATTATGGTGGTATTTTATATATTTAATATGCATGCGTTAAAGTTTGGCAGATACCAAGGAACCGTGGTCATTCAGCCAATGTCACTGCTGAATGATGATTTTTGTATTACTAATGTGTATCTAGTGCTCATATATTGGTTCTGATGTTCGGTTCCTGCAGTCAGTGTCTGCAATCGGTGAAGCCCAAATGACTTTAACCCAAATGTTGAAAATGTACTTGATACCTGACCTGTAGTATTATATCTTGCAGTTCATTAAATGGTTATATTTATCATTGTTCTAATTTTTTATTTACTATTGTTCACGCGTAATGGCTATTGGTAGCTGTTTCTGCCCTTTATTGTGTTGTTGCATAGTGATTTCAAAACTAATGGTACACATTAACACTGATATTTGTCTTTTTCCAGGTCCTCATTTTCTTGAGTCATGCCCTTTAAACTTTGTTATTCCATGTTCATAATGGAAAACAATTCAATAATAGTTGCTTCTCAACTTCTCTTCCCTTAATTCTGCTCTCTTGAGAATTTCTCGGTTTGTCATAAAAGATTAGTCAAGGTCTGCTGACGCATCTCTGTTACAGCAACCACTGACAAGAATCTTGTGAGGATTAAATAACTACAACAGAGAAATAAATGAAGGGCAAACTTTTTTTTTTATTCTTGGTACCAGAGGAAATGGGTGGGGACACTAGAAACAATGGGACAATAGAAAAATCTTTTTTAATAGATGTTAGTTGCTCTTCTGGTAAAATGGTTAAAATAATATCGTATGCATTGCGCTGGTTGACACATGAATACACTAAATACACCTAAATACACCAAAATACACAGTTGTAGCCAGTGATTTATGAGCGCTAAGTTTGATCATGCTGCTTGTTAATTTATTAATTAAGGTTTTCCCCACATATCAGTTAAGTCGCAGTGTTACAGTTTATGGGAGGCCTCAGTCACAGTTTGGCATGGAAAATAAAAGCCACCTTTGCGTAATGTATGGTCCTTGATGTGCTTTTTGGAGCTCTACATGCATATATGATAACCAGACTGGGGATATAATGGCTATTGTTTTGCAAAGGCAAGGGCTTGAAAAGGCCAACTGTGCGGAAACTCATTAAATATTTAGAGAGTGGGTCTGCCTCTCTTAGTACTAACCTGCCTCTGTCCTCTCCTCCAGATGGGATAACGTGACCTCATTTCTTCTTGGCTGTGTGCTGTGCCACATTCCTCTCAGCCAATGTGGTTGTCACAGTGTCTGTGCGACAGGGTCTTTATGAATTAATGTGGTTTGACTCAGATGCTCAATCAGGTGTTGTATCTGGTGCATAACCAACTGTCACTGGATATTAATGAGGATGATTCAATTAGGAATTAAGCATCTCATTCCAGATATTATGCGAGAATATTTCTCAGTGCAGTCAATAACTGTTTAATTGCTGCTTTGGTTTTACAAGACAGCAGACTATGAGGGATTGTTGTGCCAAGGACAAGACGGTTTTGAAGATCAAGAGGGTTTATTCAAGGGTGGGTTGGACACTATTGAGCTGTCGAAGGTATTGGCAGCCAGGCTTCATCATGAAACACTACACCAGCTCTGTGACCGTTGCAATCCCAAGAAGTAAACATTTCCCACAGCGACACAGCTTACTAGATTTTACAAACATGTAAAGGAAAGGTCGGAGGTCTTATCCGGGATATCTGTTCCCACTAATGCGAAAACATGGATCATTGATAAGAATAGAGCTTCTCCCAGTGCACTGTTTGCATCGAGTGAAAAGCTAAGGCATGGTGAGAAACTAGGGAGGAGTGTTTTAGCAGGCTTTTAGTTTTTACAACTCTATAGTTTTATCAGTTATTAGGGGATAGATTTCAAAAATTATAACGACTGCATCAACAGAGAAAATATATTTGTACAGTTGTATTTGATACTGATATGGTACTTTATTCTTTGACATCTATGAATCTCAGACTTGTCATGATGACTGCACATGTAAAAAAAACAAAAAAAACAACTCCTATTTTAATTAAAAACTTCCTTTTAATGAGAAAATAATATCCACCCTGATTACAGAATTGACTGCAATGTTTCAGTTGCTACATAACAATGTCATTGTCTTCTGTTATTTTGGCTGCGATCACGCCATTATGACTAAGCAGTCTGTTGTGTACATTTCCTTGTGAAACAGGGACGGGCATTACAGTCATACAGTTTACAACGTGAAAGCTTATATTTGTGCATTACATAAAGCTGAGGTCATGCTGTTAATTGACTGAACTCTAAAACATGCACTTTAAATTGAGATTTAAGGATCCGTCTGTGCCAAGTAGCCAGTTTTTAATGGGCACTGAAGAAACAAATTTAGTCTGTAAAAACAAATTGCACTGGTTCAGACACTTGATCATTCTGTACATGTCTCTCTGGATAGAATGATCTTATGCAATGTTTGTACACATGAGTTACAATATAAGTACTAATGTTTATTTCTATTCACTTTAGTTTTCAAGTAGAAGAACCTTTAGAGGTATTTGTGGACACAGTTTTGCATTGAATTTTTATTGCGTGAATAAGTCATATGGTCAGTGGTTGGGAATTTTCTGTCCTTTACCAAATTGTAAAAGAATTCATAGTTAATTCCAAATAAATTCGAAACAACAAAACCGAATAGCTGGTTCTGCAGCTCTGTAGAATGTAAATGAATGTGACAAAATGGTGCAGTAATCAAATAAATGATCCAACAAATGAGCAGATTGACAATCAACAAAGCAGGTTTAGGGAAAGCAGCCACTGAACTGAAGCAAGCCAGTAAATTCTGTATGTCTGTCAGAAATGTAATTTGAGTAACCAATCAGAGGCTGGAGCGATCGTGCAGGGCTCGTGCAATCAGAAGTGGATCTGCACAGTGCACAAAACATGGTGTGAGGCAGGAGCTGGCTGTAGTCCACAAGAGGCATAGAATATTCTATAGAGCCACTGCAGAACCAACATGAGTAGCCCATCTCTGCTTATTCTCCACTTCAGTAAAAAAAAAAAAACACCTGTCATAAATTTACAGTGTAGTACAGTGGGGTCTACCCTGCACAGGTAACCACTTTTCTTACTGTGTATAGAGTAAGAAACACATTGACTGTCACACCTACAGTCAATTTAGAGTCACGATTTCACCTAACCTGCATTTCTTTGGACTGTGGGAGGAAACCCACACAGGCACGAGGAGAACATGCAAACTCCACACAGAACGGCAGAATACAGTAATCCCAACGTAATTATTTCTGTAATAGACGACATTTTCGTCCATTATTTTAAAAAAATGCATTCCACGTTGCCACCATGCACGAAGAAATCGCCGTTTTTAATATTTCTGCATAGCACTTGTGATGTGGTGTAGTGTTGCTCTGGCCTTAAGCATGTTATAATATGGAATTACGACATAAAATAAGTCTACAAAGTATTGAGACGAAAGAAATGAAATATAACGGGTAAAAACAGACTTAGTGAATTTTCTACAACCCCTTTCGTCACAGTGATGGATACATTATTAATAAGAGAAAAACTGCTACCAGATGGTCAAAATAAAACGTCTTAGCGCAGGACTGGTCTCATCACAGTCCAGAAAAAGATATGGTCTTTGACAGCAGCTTGAAAAATTGCACACATAGAAATAAGTGTGTGGGGAGATTTGGGCGAGTGCCTTTCAGTTCTATTCATTCATCACACATTCAACTTGTTCCCCTTTTGTTGTAAAGGACTGCAGCCAGCACCTCTATCAGATTATAGTAATGCATAGGAAAATGTATTTGTGCTTTTATACAATACAGGTTTCATTCAGTGGCTGACAGAACTGATACATTTGGGAAAGTCTACTGTTACAGCCTTTTGTAGTTATGATTTCTATACTGATGTGTTATTCTTACCTTCGCACAGACCTGCTACTCTGAGGGATGATACAAGTATATGTGTGATATATGATATTTATCAAATATTTGTATGTTACTGCATGATACAACTATAGTATATATTCTTAGCATATGAAGTCCATTAAAATGACTAAAGCTGAATCTACAGTCAAATATTGTTATGTCTGTGGGGTCTGGAGTGTCAGTCTGTAAGGTTTGAGCAGGATTTGAACAGACATGACCTCCAGCGTGAACTACATACTCAAGTTCAAAAGCTTATTTAACAGTCAGAAGCCTTTCTTGAAGAATGGTACCTGCAAGATATTGCTCCAGTAGAGGCAAATCCACCTTTTTACCCAGCGCTGTTCGGCTCTTTCACTCACCGATGCATAATGTCAGTGTGGATGTCATTTTGAAACGGCTGTGTTTGTTTGTCTATGCTGCATGCTATTCACTTGCTTGCAACACTGTAGAAATGTCTTCAGGACCAAGTCAGTACTTCACCCAGGCATCGCTCTCATTATTTTTTAAATTGAATGAGAGAAGTCAAAAGTGGTACCTAGAAAATTGGTAGCTTTCATCAAAGTTTGAGTCTCGTACAATTAGAGTATACTTTGCAGTGCAGGACACACAGATTCCATCTTTTATGAGGACTGTTTTGCTATACATAATGACGGTTCTGCAATCTCTGCTTTTCCTTTGCTACTAAAAAGCTAGACCAACCTTGTTTTCAATTGAACAACCGTTTATCCATTTATTTACAGCACATCTCCAATCTGACACATTTTTAGGCCTCCCACAGGCACCCAGGGTTTCAAGGCACTCATTCCTATGGTACAATTAGCAACCCACAGAACTGCATAATGGTGTCCAGAAACACAGGATGGAGCGCAGCATGACTCCTACATGCCCATATGCTAGCTGACAGCATTTACGCCACCTTTCATGCTGCAGTGTATTTCCCATTACCCAGCTGGCAAGTCAGATGTCTTCATCAGCATATTCAATGTGAATTTGTAGTAGTATTAGTATTTAGCTTTCTGATTATTATACTCTGCTTGAGCTACTTGAGCAGAATGATAAGTTTTTGGTCCCTTCACTAAACTTTATTGTGCCCACTCATTTCTTACGTCTGTCTCCTTCGTCGTGGCACACAAAACATACACAACCAAGTACACAACCAATATAGTGTGGGCTGGCAGCTAAACTTTTTTTACCTGTGAGGTGTGTGATTGTTTGTGTGATATTTTGTGTGTGTGTGTGCACAGAATAATTAAATTATGTTCAAACTTGTAAATATAAACATCTAGTACATATGTTAAGGGCAGAACCAAAATCTACTGATCTAGTCGAGGGCTGTTACTTAAACGAGTTAGAAATGTTGTTTTAAAGCTGCTCTGATATTTTTATGTTCATGTCAGCTCATTAATTTCGTTTTATGGCGAGCAACTTAACTGTATTTGTTCACTCTCCAGCATAGACTAGTCAAGTCTATGTCATTAAGTGACAAAGTCAGAATAAACTAGCAGTTGAACACAATGGAGCATTAAGGAGCTCAGGAATTGGAGACCAAAACAAAGAAAGAAAAAAAGTAAATAATGGACCTTTCCATTCCAGGTGAAACACGACTCCAAATGCACGGTAATGCTGCTCTATGACCTGTTAGTGTGTAAAGAAGATAATATGTCACTGTTGTCTTTCGAGCTTGTTGAGCAGCCAACTAAGTGGCCAAAAAAATTAATTAATGGTGACTTAAATTTTAGATTTTACAATGAAATCATCCATTCAGATATGAGGAACAAGTGTCAGTGTCAAAATCTAAATATACATAAATAAACATACAAGCATACATACATATCCACATAAACACATCTCTAAGTATACACACAAAGCAAACAAAGCTACTGTACTGTATATACAGTAATACTATCTCCCAAAGAGTTTTTTTTCGACGTTGCAGTCGGCATTTTTCCAACTTCTGTACAATAATAATATTTCCAAGGACTGAGCACAGCTTAAGCAGTCTGATAAAGCAAGGTCTGCATGATTGAAGCGCCAGCATTTCTTTGAAGTTTCTTGAGGGGACCTTTTTAATAGGACTCTGACTTGCAGTCTAACTTTGAATCGTGCTCCCCTGAAGGCAATTAACAGTTTGACCTGATTTCCTGTTCTTTGAAACTAAAGTTCAGGATGTGGTCAGGAATACCACAAACAATACAGACATCACCAAATAATTAGGAATTAATGAGAGCTGTATGTGCATAAAACTTGAACTTGGTTTGTGTTAAAAATTCAGAAATCCCCTTTTGTGCTTTTTATATTTCATTAAAAACTGCAGGAATAGAGGAGAGATTAAAACGGTTCACATCCTGCCAGCTCTTGACATTTCAATTTTAGAGCATTAAGCTCACACACTTTTCTACAAGTTTAACAATACAAGTACCTTTAATTCCCAGATCACGAGTATTACAGTCAACCCATACAAAAAAGAACAAGGGTCAGAGCACCAGCCCTATCATTATTACAGTTGCATTACACTGGCCACACAACACTAAACTGCACTGTGACAAGAAATAAAATAAGAGCCAAGGTGACAGATGGAAGGGATTTTGGAGCAATTAAAGTGAGTAGAGCAGAGAGGATATGATTCAGTTGGGAGGATGTGATATGAGGCAGTGAAAAGATTAGTTTTCAGCCTGCAGTAGAGCTGTGACACAGTTTTATTTGCCGGCACTGCGTTGTATTTTTCTTTAGGGTTAATGTTTACCTAGCAGCTTTCTCTGCTCTCTGTCCTGAGTAACCTTGTGGTGCCCCTCCTCCTATCTGACCAGTTTGAGGCCTGTTGTTGCTTCACCTTGAAGCCAACTTACAAATATCATTAGTCAAGGGAGACAGGAATAATAAACACATTTGCCACCCTAACTCTCTCAGAAGTCCCACTAGTATATACAACACATTGAAGGCATATTCTTCTTTTTAGTATCTAGTAACTAGTATTTATTTTTCTTACATCAGTTTGCCTTTAATTATCTAAACTATTAACAGCGATCTCTTATATGTTTGATGCACTTGTAAATGTGCGGTAAACAATAAAGACTAGGGATTACTTAGACAAATGTGAGGATGTACAGCTGTTTCCACCAGCCTGGGAATTTTGTCTCTGAAGTCTAATTTCTTTGTTCTTGTGTTTCAGCTGAAGGTGTCCCCCAGGTGTTTTACTTTGGACCCTGTGGGAAGTACAACGCAATGGTTCTGGAGTTGCTGGGCCCGAGTCTAGAGGACCTCTTTGACCTTTGTGACAGGACCTTTTCACTGAAGACCGTCTTAATGATAGCAATTCAGCTGGTGAGTTCAGAGCATTATATGACACATGAAATTGTTCAATTCACCTAACATATCTGATGAAATGATTGTAAACTCTTAAGTAATGTTAAAATAGCTGTAGGAGCTGTCTGTTAAATAAAGCCCATGTTAAAATAATTGTGAAATTTGCAGTTCCACGGCATTGATTACACAATGCTCACCAACAGAAGTGGCATTGTCAGTCACTGTTTCGTTCATTCTGATGAACTACTTTGAACTACTTTGCATAGGTGATGAGGTAATGTGCTGTTAAAACATAAAATTCCTGCTTATATGTTTCACAGTAAAAGCCTTGCAGAGCTTTGACGTGAATCTGCCCCACACCTAGTCTACTGTCTAATGTTTTTGCTGGAGCTTTCAAGTTCATCTTTCTCAGCAGATGGGGTTTGCTCAGTTGACAACTCAACTATGCTCACTTTGACAACTGAGCAGACCATGAGATGTGGTTGAAAGCCCTGGAAAAGGCTGGTAAATTGACCTAGAGTTCAGAGTGTTTTGTTAAACAGTTTTTTTTTAAACTCAAGATTTTACTTTTGGGGGCGCCCCATTAACTCACCTGGTAGACTGTGTGCCATGTATCAAGGCTGACTCCTTACCGCAGAAGCCGGGTTCAATTCCACTGCCTATATAACTGTTGTACAGTATTTGTTTAAATAAAATAAACACAATGCACCCAAAGTCCTGCTTACCAGGCCCATAGCACAGGTGGGAAGGTGCGCTACCAGTGAAGTCTCCCATTACACATTCTGCAAATTCGCAATCTGTCAGTATACATGTACTATTGGACAGTCTGGTGGGCTAGGAGCTGTCAAAAAGAGCAAAGCCATCACTGAATCTCATTAACTTTGAGCAGCTCAGAGGGTGGTTTGCCCAGTCTTTTAGACGCCTCAGACATCTCAAAATTTCTAACATTTCATTTTGTCAGCACAAAATCTGCAGTGCTCTTGTAATGATAGCCTCTGCAAATTTGTAAGGAAACCTACAAAACAGCACAACATAAGCACGGTGTTGCAGAACAGAGAATTGCTAAACCCTGCATCTCAGCCAATCTCTTCTATATTCATCATGTAGGTCTTCCTCTTTATTTTTTTGACACAAATGACTCACTCTACTCAAGCTCCTGTTTTTTTGTTGTGTTTTCACCACGATTGTTTCAGGGTATCAGGATTCCTCAAGATCAAACCCAAGTGAAGGATCATATTACTCATGCCATTACTTATTTTCCCATTGTGTCTGAGCTGTCATTCTTGCTTCCATTACAAATCTCTTCTCGGAACAGCTATGAGCACTTGATTAAAATGACTTCTCTATAAACACATTGTCGTTCTGATCCTAATCGCTGGTGCTTTTCGTAGTCCTAAATCCCAGCAGGATGGTTTTGCATCTCTGTTGATGTTGAGCCAGAATTTCCAACCACTAATTGAGGCTTTTGTTGTGTGATAGTAATGGGGCACAGTGGTAGCTGTGCAGCATAGTGCTGAAACAATTAGTAAATTAATCATTAGTCAGTCAGCATAAATTAATTGAGGACTACACTCAATATGTTGTAGTCGCAGCCATAAGTAATTGTAAAATTACTCAAAAAGATTTATAATGATCAATGAAAATCATCATTAGTTGCAGTCTTAATGCATGGCTAGTATTACTCTCTGGTTGTGTGTTTTTGGTTGTATGATCCATTTAGTTAAGCCTACTATCATGTGTTCAAATGGGTTTAAGCAGCATTTAAGTATTGTACTTCCATGAGACTTGCAAGAGACAGATTAAAAAAGAATTATCATGTTGCAGACTTTTAGTCCTGAGTATGGGTGAAACACTCAATCTAACATTTCCCATATTACAGCTCAGTTACATCCCTGACGAGTAAAGCGCAATACTAACCATCACTAGTAAACTGACCTTCATATGTAATCATTGAAGTGCCCCTGTAATGTATAATAATGCTGAAGTCAGTTCCTTAGGAAATATTGTATTAAAATGCTCTTGAAAAGACTGACGTATTGCAGCAGTCAACTTTCACTAAAAATTTCATTTTTGAGTAATTTTGACATCTTGATTCCCATTTTGCAGACTTTGTGATTTGATTACATCTGATTTATGTCCATATTTCTGTTTGCTGAGTCCACTGTTTTCTTTCTCACCAGATTTCTCGAATGGAGTATGTACACTCTAAAAACCTCATCTATAGAGATGTAAAACCTGAAAACTTTCTCATCGGACGGCAAGGGAATAAAAAGGAACACATTATCCACATCATTGACTTTGGCCTGGCCAAAGAGTACATCGACCCCGAGACCAAAAAACACATTCCATACCGGGAGCATAAGAGCTTGACTGGCACTGCTCGATACATGTCCATCAATACACATTTAGGCAAAGGTAAGGTTCATTTCATAGCTTTGTTTTTGTTCAATATTGTTCATAATGTTTATTATGTAATGTGTGTTTAGCACTTTATTCTTGATGTTTCTCAGTGAAATTGTATCAAATCTGTTGATAGAGCAAAGCCGGCGAGATGACCTGGAGGCCTTAGGCCACATGTTCATGTATTTCCTTCGTGGCAGTCTACCGTGGCAAGGACTAAAGGTATACCAAGTACATGGAAGAGTGTGTTACAAAATCTGTTTTATCCTATGCAGAAAAACAATCATTAAAAAAATAACTATCTGAGTGATTAAGTGATTTCTGCAGCCTTGAAATCATAATCCGATAATCAGATCAGTATCATTGTTTTATTTGCAGTTATTTATGAAGAATTTCAAAATGTGTCAATTCTGTATTAAGTCCAAAATCAGTATAATTACAAGTGAACGAAAGTTAATATAAATACCTAAGTTATTAGGGTTTTCTATAAGAAATAAACTGGAAATTAACCAGTTGTTAATTTGTGTGTGTGTAGACAGTGCAGTCAGGATTTAAGATGTTCCTGTCTGTTCTTAAAAAAAAAAAAAACATATTAGGAATTTGTTTTCATATAATTATGATTTCTGTTTGGATTTTACAGGCCGACACGTTGAAAGAACGATACCAAAAGATCGGAGACACAAAACGAAACACTCCCATTGAGGTCCTCTGTGAGAACTTCCCAGGTGTGTTGATGATGGCTGTAGTATACTTATGGATCAAGCTGTAAAGCTTGAAAATTCGATATTGTGCTGTGATTTGACCTGTTTATTTCCAGATAGTTGTTGAAATGTCATCCTACAGCAGAATTAGAATCATAGTATCAATATTAAAGGTTAAACCAGTCCTCCTCTTTGTTTTGTGTGTAATTCAGAGGAGATGGCCACCTACCTGCGATATGTGAGACGGTTGGACTTCTTTGAGAAGCCTGACTATGAGTATCTGAGGACTCTGTTCACTGAACTGTTTGAGCGAAAAGGATACACCTTTGATTACACTTACGACTGGGTTGGCAGGCAGATAGTAAGTAACACACGTAAACTGTTAACAGATACATTTTAAGTCTGTCAACAGTTTTTAGCAAGCTGCTTGACAGCCCAGCTTTTAATTAATTATTCTTCCCCTCAGCCCACACCAGTGGGGTCTGTTCATATAGACTCTGGAGCATCTGCTGTCACGAGAGAGAGCCATCCTCACAGAGACAGACCCTCACAGCACCCACCAATTAGAAATCAGGTACGCCAGGTTTTGTTATAAAGTGAGTGTGTGTGTGTTTGTGTGTTTACCAGGCTTTTGTTCCAGTGAAAGCAAGAAAAACAGTGCGTTACAACCTGAAATGTACAAGGCACACATGTATGTACCACACCCCTGATACTGATGTCCATAAAGAGTTAGTCTCGGTGACCTTCAACCTGACCTGCGGATGAGGGAAACTCTAACACAACATCTTCAACAACTCCGGATTCTTCAGTTATCAGGATCATTATTACCAAACAAAGCTAATGTGCATGCAGAGTTTCAAAGCTTATATGACAGCTATTATTACTGATGGGATATATAGTATAGGTGTTAAGCATTTGTTTATTTTTTTAAAGAAGGAGTCCCATATATGTCACCTGCATTCTAATCCAAGCAAAACAAATGATTGGTTTTCAAACAATTAATCCCAGTTCTCTCTATATTGGTGTTTGAGACAAATTAGTGTGCAGTTTAATTATTGTGGGTGGACTGTTGAATTATTACAGACCAGAAATTGAAATGAATTCTGTTGATTGGCAGCAACTCACGAAGATGAAGATGACTGAGATAAAGCTTTGTAATCATTCACTTAGTGTACTGCATTGGAATGAGATACACTAAGATAGTGAAGGGAGGAATTATTTGATTCTTTAATCAGAACAGTGAAACTTTGAGTGTGAAAAAAATGTGCTGAACTTGTCAGTGCAGGTGTTTTATTAATGGTATTTCTGGCCAGCCTTTCCAAGGAATTGCATGTGTTTGTGGTTGCCTTAAATGCAAATTTCAGAGCTGTGGTGCAAATCCTTGCAAAGTTTCCATATAAGGTTTGGGTGAATAAGTACATTTGAACATTTCTACCAATTGAGGATTTTAATAACTTTTTTCACTGCTAAATGTACTTGACATTTTGTTTTAATAAACACTTCTGCTTTGATTAGCTGGTTTCATAACAAAAAAATGATTTAAGAAGGTTAAAAACCTGTTCAATAAGTTAGGTGTATTTTTGTGTTAAGTGAAATGAGATCGAGGCCAAAGTTTTAGATGTAAGAGCTTACCTCCATTTGGCTTCAGGCTCATGTAGTTTCTGGTTCAGTTCTCTGGCTGAAGCCTTGCTTTGATTTGATTCACTCCTTTATTTTGTTACATTTTTTTTCTTCTCCATTTCTCATGCTGCTTTGCATGGTACCTGGCCTCGCACACCCAATTACCCATCTTTCCTAATGCAATTATTCCATCACCCCCCCACCTCCCCTCCCATCGCACCCCAATCCCTCTTCCCCTCCCATCACCGATGCCCCACTCCCCCCTCGACTCCTGAGCAGACAGCGGTCTCAGATCGACGAGGAGCATGGGAAGTGCAGCCCACACGCCAAGCAAACTCCTCCTATCTGACCTCCCACCTGGCAGCGGACAGGCACGGGGGCTCAGTGCAGGTATACACCCCTCACCTGATCAACCAACAGCCCCCACCTAATCTCTATGGAGTCAGATCTGTCTCATAGGATTGAATCTAAAAAATATATATAATATTTTAGATTAAAACTTCAACAACAATACTCAAGTGCATCACACTTAGTGAAATACTCGATCAGCTCAAAAATATTTTGAACCAGTTTGGTATTAAAAAATTAAAAAACTGAAGCAAATTTTGCTTAATTTTGGTGGTATTTTTAATTTAAGGCTATTCTCACTCTCGGCCATATAAACATTTTGTTTTCGTTATTAACTGCCTGAAATTACGGCTTATAATTGATCACTATTTAATGGTATTTCCTGAATACTTATATTTGTAATTACTCTTCTGGTTCACAACAAAATGTACAATAGCAGATAACAGACATTTTACCAGGACATGGCATTTGTCCTGTGTGAGACAGATCTACAACCATATACCTCCCCCACCCCTTTACCCCTGGCTGGGAAATGTTATTTTTTCTGCACCACCATATGCATGTCATCTGGTGCCACCCACCCCAGATGGTGAAAATGTGGTTTAGCTTTATAAACAGCAGCCCTGGTTGTGGCATTTTGATCTCAGGTCCTACAACTCTTCATGGCGCTTGGACATTCCTTGCAAGATCAAGAAGCCTCTTGCATGGCAGGGTGACCTGGCTCATCCGTTTAAGTGCATGCTCTTAAGTCGTAAAGGGCCATTATGCTTTAAGGAACATCCTGGTGTAGTTCTGACAACTTGCCATTACCCTTGTCTGTAACAAGCTGTTTGCATAGGTGTGTACAGTGTAGGCTTTAGGTGATCTCTGGCTTTTCTGCTGAATGCCACTAACTGCCATTCATGTTGAAACGGTATAGGAATGTCATCAATGTAAAAACTGTTGTATGTTCACTTTATACACGGCCTTGCTTTTTTCCATTGGCAGAAATATGTCTCTCCAGCTCTGATTGGACTGTCACTGCAGGATGAGTTATGGAAAGGTGGTGAAACTGCTTCTGTGGGAGAATCATATCCCTGGACCTAGACCTCTGAGTAGGGTTGTGAAGGCCTCTGTCCGTGCTCCTCCTGCTGTATTAAGTTTTTTCTTTGCAGGTTGCTTGCAAGAGATGGACGAAGCTATTTAACCAGATGTCTTCCACCCGGGCAGGTTGGCTGTATGTTATTTAGGCTACTGCTATTTATTTTTTATATACTATTTATTTATCTTTTGAAAGATGCACAGTTACTGTTCCATCTACCGTCACATAGTTTTACCTGAAATTCTTTTAATGTGTGGGGAGACCCAGAAAAAGACTGGAACACCAACTCTTGCTGGAGAAATAGCTGAAAATGAAGAAAACATCTTCAAGCACAATACTGGAAGTCTAAAGAAAGCAAAGGTCTTTGTCTTTCACATCACTTCAGTCAAACCCACAGATGGTGGTGATCTATATCAGTGGCTCACACAGACATTGTGGTCCACTGGCAGTAAGCACACAGAATAACTCACTTATAGTAGCTTCACTACCTCCAGCAGTCATGTGACCCTCATCTTGCACCTCGTCTCTCCCCCCCTATATCTGTGCAAAGTTGAATGGAGTATGGCAGTTTCAAAAACAACGTAATTTCAACAATAGTGTTTCCTGTGTCCGGCACCCTCATCTGGAGACTTTTCTGCACTGTTTCAACATGAATGGAAGTGAATGGCTTTTGGTTGGTTGAGATCAACAAAGGTGTACACTGTATACACCTACGTACACAATACACACATTTTTACAATAATTGTACTGCATTTTCTTCTACAGGTTAATGGGACAGCCACCAATTTGTGTGTTGGCTGGCCGTGTCTTTTTGTTGTTTGATGTCTGATTGTTCATCTGTGTCTTTACGATTTAGAAAAGTTTTCTTCTATGCTGGCCTATGGGCTGGTACGTAAACGTTTTAAACGTACTGTAAATTAAAGCTTCCCTTATTATACCTTTAAAGATATATTAAGACAAAACCAACTTACCTCCAGCCAGACTATGATAAAAAGAAGAAATTGAAAGAGTTAAGATAAAGATTTAGCATTTAACTAAAATCGCTGCATCTTTTGGGGCAAACTTTTTGCAAACAAATTCACTTTAAACGCCTGCGCCAGTATCAAAGAGAGACACCCAGACACATATCAGTACACACTGATAGCAATCACTGACTCTGGATACAAACTGCAAGCAAGAAAAAGTAGTTCATTGAACACATAAACGTTATTATGTATCTTTGTGTTATTGATGTGTTGTTGTTTGCTTTGACATGTTTCCATGAAGGAAAAAGTAAAGGGAATTCACAGAAGGACATTGATTCTAGCCAACATCTTCACTGTTCTTGAAGTAACACCCGTCTGTGCCACAGGTGGTCAGCTCGACCAACGGGGAGCTGAACGCAGACGATCCACTGGCAGTTCATTCCAATGCTCCGATCACAGCTCAGGCAGAGGTGGAAGTGGTCGACGAGGCCAAGTATGTGTCACACACCCGCCACACCACTCCTCCGTGTCCATCTGTCGCTTCCTCTCTTTCCTGCTCTGTCTCTCTCTCACTTTTTGCTATGCCGTGGAATTGTGACAGCCCCCCCCCACCCCAACCCCTCCAGCTGTCATCCTGCCCCTCTTATCTTCTATCTGACTGTGTGGGTTGTTGATCTTTACTGCTGCCTGTCTCTATGCTGTTCTCTCAACTAGTTTTTTTTTTTTTTTTAAGAAAGAAAACTGGTGCAGATTAACTTCTCAGTCGGAGCTAATACGGCTTTTCATACCTGTTGCCTGAGCAGTCAACCACTAACTTAGGTCACACTGGCAGCCACTGTCACTGGCACTTCACTGTCTCACAGCCTGGCCGTCTTAAAGAAATACTCCACTGTTGATCAACCCAATCATCGTGTCTTTAACAGTACCAGTAATAACGATGAGTGCAGAATCTGTCAGCGACTTGTGGTAGCAGCCATTTGAGATCACACCAGATTGTCCATGTGGTAACTTGGTCACATGTATATAGATTATGCCCATGATGTCGTTGTATGCAGCTGTCACTTTTCTTCTCTGCAAACATGGAAACTGTTGTTAACATTGGTTTCATTCGGTCCTTCCGGTGCCAGTCTTGAAATGAAAGGTTGGACGTTCACTGTGCAAAAACCGTGCTGCCAGCTGAATGTCACATGATTCAGCTGACTGAGAAGAACTGAGTGGAGATCTTCTGAGACACAACTTAGAGACAAAGATATATTAATGGAGGAAATAAGTGCTTTGCAGGTAGAATTTAAGGGTTGTTGAATATTACAGCAAACAGGCTGATTTTTGCTTGATAAAAACATGTGGAAGTGAAACTTAACTCCAAAATACAGAGATTTTGTTACAAGCTGCAAAAGTATTGGGAGCTTCACATGCCGAGATGCTTCATCTCTAGTCACCAGCACAACCACCTATGTTGTGCCATCATTTTATTTCAAGGCTTGACGTTGATAAATTGAGGAGATCATCCTAATTTGGCCCAGCTTTGCTAGCAAGCAGAACAACAATAGGGCAGGGCAGCGAATTTACTCTGTGAGTGTGTGGTCGGAAAATGTAGGTTCATGGTGCAGCTGAGATTGGCATTGGAAAAACTCTGTTTGATGAATAAGTTGTACTATTAAAATCGTAGCTAAGTGGACCTAGTTGGGGTTTTGTGGGGTGTAGCTGGTTGGCATCCCTGGTGGTGGTGTTCAATCTGAATGAATAATATTATGTGTAGTATGAATGCTACTTAACTTTGAGCAGATAAATTATTCTTTTTCAATGGCAATTTGGTTTAGAAAAACACTGAAATTTGTACATAAACGATTAAAACGGTGAAACATTTCTTTAATTATAGCAAGTATATATAATATAGTTTGTGTTCTATTAAATGGTATTTAATTACTATTTTTTTTCATGTATCCTAAAGTAGACATTGGATTTTATCCTGTAACACTGTAATACATTTATTACACTATATATCCGAATACATCTTAACATAAGTAGAGGTGTATTTCGCTTCAGTCCAGCTCCTTTAGTTATTGTGTTACATATTTGTATTGAAGGGATTGACCATCTTTCCCACCAGAATCCATCAAAGCCACTGTTAAAAATTATTCCCTTCTGCTAGTATCCTCATGAATCTCCCAGAGGTTCATTCACTTTAATCTGTGCTTGTTTCTATTTCTGCCCAGACGACAGGCCTTCCTCCTTGTCTCCATTCACACAATTGTTTGATATGATGATTGGTGTGTTTGCAGCCAGTCTCTTTGATACCTTGTCAGACAAGTTGATGTTTGATATAAGAACATGAAGTAATAAATTCAAATCATACGTTTGATGAAATTCAATTAATTATTATTTATTTTGCCTTTTGAGGGAATAACTGGTTTCCATGGTGAAACCATGGAACATGTATATTGGGCTCTTTCATCTTTTTATTTACATTCATGAGCTAAAATGTGCTTTTGAGTGCCAAACAATAAGAAATAATTTTCAGTTTGTGCAGGATCAGGTTCAACTTGTTCTGGATTTTGGTTTCCATCAGTAATGCTATAATGTACAGTTATTAAAATATATATAAATACATTAGTGCATTGATTCCAGCTATATATAAAGTAGTAGCACTACATTTTTTTCGTTCATTGACAACATTCTCATATATTTCTAAAATACAACAAATGAAACTTTCCCAGGGATAGAACAGGTAATGTCCTGTGGCTGGTTGCCTGAACTTTTTTACACTCCTAAGTTTAAACTTAACCTACATACCATAGTTATTATAAAATTAAGTGGAGATTCACAAATTGAGATTAAAGAGTTAAAAAGGGAATATAGTCAACATATCTGACCTGACACCTTTTTTTTTTGTGAAATTATATTTCACAAAAATAAAAACAATTAAATTATAAAAAGTTATACTAATGACTAAATAACCTCAGTTCTGTAATCTTTTCCCCTTTTTACCCTCTCAAACATTCCCTCTCTGTGTCCACCTGTGTCCTGTTGGTGTGTTTGTGTGCATGTTTGTGTGGCATGTGCCCAGGTCCATCATCTTGGTCTTGCTGTATTAATCTATCTTACTTTTCTCTTTACACTCTTTCCTCTTTCTTCTTCTGTAGCTGCGTGAAAATGCTCAACCTGTGGTGAGTCCCTCTCTGCTAGTCCACATCAGACTCATGGGACAGGGAGTGGACCAGCCTAGGCTGGGCCCAGTGGAGTTGTTATGTACAAATTTAAACTAGACTCTCACTGGTGCAGTAGTGTCATATACCCCTGAGAACATTGTCTACTCTGTGTACTATCATTCTCTGCCCTTCTCTGCCGCTTTTTTTAACCACCGCTGATGTTGAGAAGTGACAGTAAACCATGCTGCCATGTGAGCAGCATACTAAGTTAACACTTGAGCACATCAGGGCAGAAAGAATAAACTTTGATATAAGTTAACTAAATTGTCTCTTGTTGGCCCCTGTAATAATTATAAGAAATGTGATATCACTTTTTAGCAGCAAATTTGGCTTCAGATTAAAGGTCTTTAAACTCTTGTTGCATGGTGCACCATTATTTGTTATTGATGAATTAATCTAAGAGTACCCAGTCACTGTCCTATGTCTTGATCCACAGCTTTTTTCTTGTCTCTGTATGTTTTTATTGACCACTCAGGCTCACCGTGTCTTGTGCTCTTTGTGTGCACTGCTCCATTTTTTGCATAGTCAATACTGCCTTCAGAGTCACTGCAGCAGTTTGTAGTTGAGTCCCCTCTGCCATTTTTCCAGTTCTTAAAAATGGGAGGCGAATGAGCATGCAAACACCTGGTGGATGGCTATGCATCCATCTTGTCCTTGATGCTAACATTTGACTAATCAAACCTTTCGCCAGCTGCAGTTCTCACCATTATGATCCCAAAAAACGTGTTTCTGTCCAGATTTGGATGACTCAAATTAAATTTAAGCTTTTGTGATATTTAACACACTAATTTTAAGAAGTCCGCTCATGTTTTGATGTTTTGTTTGCTACATCTGAAGCCCCTCTCATCTACATTTCGATTTAATGTCTGTCTCTGTCTGCAGGTGCTGCTGTTTCTTCAAGCGAAAACGGAAGAAGAACACACCGAGGCACAAATGATCATCCACCGCCGGTCTGAAATGTTCCACGTGTCCGGCTCAGTTGATTTGTGATTTCAGAAATCAATAAGGTCCCATTCAGAAAACAAGAGGGAGATAACTGAAAGATCATGATTGAATTGTTCTTTGGAGGGACCCGTTAAAAATGGTTTGTTGAGATGTACAAGACGCTTGTGTCTTTTGATGGGAGTCCTTTTTTTAATGCTTTTCTTTTTTTTTTTTCTTCCTCCAACATCTGTGGGAATGTTTTGCAGGCCAGTCGTCCAAATGGGAAACTCTTTTGTTGGAATTGTGCAGAGGATAATCTTGTTTTTTGTTTTGGTTTTTTTCCTCCCCAAGACACCCAGCATTTGTATTTTTCTCTCCTCATTTTTGGCAATTTTCTTGCTCCCATTTCTCTTCTGTGGTATTGCAAAGGAAGAGACAGATCTTCCTGTGGAATCTTTGCCACCCTCAACTTGTTGCATAACGTGTCTGTTTGAGTCACAGAATCATATTTTCATTTGCTCTCTGTCGAGTCCCAGTTCAAAGTGGTTTGCCCATCGTAAGTTTGCTAACTCATTTTGACACAAAGCCCTTTTGGTCTTTCCTGTCGTGGGACTGAATGTAAACCTGAACACACGAGGAGCCAAGAGTGTAACTGCCTATCTTCACGTACAGGCACAAAGAGCATCAGTCTGCCATTTGGCCCCTGCACTTTTTCCTCCAAAGAGGTCAACCCTGGCACTGGGACCTGGGCCTGAGAGAACAGAAGACCAGAGACGCCTCCTGCACTGTGTTCTCTGAGGATGATTTCTGCTCACGCTGCTTGGTTAAAGCACTCCCCTTAACCACGCTGCTGTCAAAACACACTACAGTCTCTTTTGACTCTCATGCAGTTTTGCTCCTGTTGACTTTGTGATGATGAGCAGCAACCTGACACTTATAGATGGGGCTGGGGAAAAAAAATGCTATTTATGCTATTTATCTCTTGGTTGCCACCAGTTTTCTTACTAATTCTAAAAACATACACACTGAATGTATGGAGAGGAAAGTAAATGACTTTGGAGCATTTATATAATCTGTCATGCGCATGGGAAGGAAATTGCAGTTAAGGAGTTAAGACCAATGTTTAAAAAAGGAGGGGAAAAAAAGACCAAAATTAAGTGGATTAGAGGGTGGGAGGGTCTTAAATGTTTTTGATCTTAATAACGTGATGGTTAATAATGGACTCTACACCAGTAGACACTGGGGGATGTTGCTTTGGAGTGACAAGAGAAACTGGCGTGATGTGCTTTGGAGATTGAATCACAGCCTCTCGACGCTACTGTCCAATGCCTTAACCCCCCCCCCCCCC